GTCGCTTAGTCATCAGTGGCAAAACCAGAATGAAAATACCCTCTCCTGAATCCACTCTACAACCTAAAAGTAGTTAAGCAAAGGAAAACAAGGGCTCCAGGGTCAGCTAACACAGCTCCCAGGTCCAAGGCCACACCCCCAGCCATGGTGGCACGGATAAAGCCAAATAGGCAAAGCATGCTGTCTACCACGGAGGGGCTTAATGAATAAGCATCTTAGCCCCTACCACAAATCAGCCAAAACCAGAGAGGACCTGCAGCACTGCCCCCCTTTTTCAAACCCACCAGAAATGTGTGGCCTATACGAATCCTCATGCCTCCACAGCAGTAAAATACATCAAAACAGAGAGCCTGAGGACCTGGAAGACCAACCAGAGCGGAAGAAGAGACCGGCTGTGCCAGGGTAACACTCACCAGTCCTCGCCTCTGTTCACACCAGCTCCCTGGGGGAAGGACGTCAGTCAGGCACCTGGAAGGAGGAAACGGTGTTAGCTCCTCTGAACTGAGATCATGGACCCAGCATGGAGCTGGAAATTGAGAGGCTGGCATTTGACTCTCTGAGGAACCTGGGGGAAGTTGCTGAACCTGTTAAGCAGAAAGGTCCCTGTGACTATGCGCAGAGAGCAAAAGGGAAAGTAACAAATATGATGTTGGCGTGGCCAGCAGGGGCCAGGCTTCACGGGCTGGGAGGCCAAGGTAAAGAGTTCAGTCTTGATTCCAAGAGCACTGGGGAGTGGTTTGTAATGTAGAGAACGGATTGGAAATGGGCATGAGTAGCTTTAGGTGTATGAGTCAGGAAGTCGTTGTGGCTGTCCAGGGGGCATGTGACAAGGACCCAGACTGGATGGTTGAGTAGAGCTAAAAAAGTGGTGGTATCCACAGACCGTGGGATGGACTGGATCTGGGGGATGAGGGCAAGCAGAGGCCTGCCTACTCCTCAGGCACTTCCTTCCATGTCAGTCCCATGATCTCTGGCACCCAGGGAAGAACACACCCATTGCCCTCTCACCCTGGCCTATCCTTGCCTCAGGCTCCGCACCTATAAAAACAAATAAGGTTGGACCCAGTGGTCCCTTAAGGTCTTTTTAGCATTAATATTCTGTTCTGGTATAACTTGCTCACAAAGTATTTAAGCCCCTTCTCGATCATCTTTAAGCCCCAACTACAGGCCCAGCCTGTTACACAGTGAGGCGGGTTGCTGGAGAGAGAAGCCTCAGGCCTCCTGGACTCACACACTAAGAAGAGATGGTTCCACTTCACATACAGTTGATGGCCAAGCTGGAACTGTGGGGCAAAGGTAGTTTCACAGTTCTGAGTGCACAAAACACAGAGTTTATTCCTTTATTATTATTTATTAAGTTCTGTATTATTTTCCATGCAAAACAACTGTTAACCTACAAGGTGAATAGGAAGGTCACTTGGGCTGAGGCTGTAACAGCAGGAGCAGAAGTTGTGTGCCTGAGAGTCTTCTTCCTGCCCCAGCTCTGGAGGCTGCCATGGGCCTCAGGACACTGCTAGGCCCGCTGTAGCATCAGTCACCCGGCAACCTGCTTTCTCATCCACTGTTTCCTAGCACCCAGGCTAATCCTGGGAGGCAGTGCGGCACAGTGGTTATAAGGTTGGACTCTGTAGTCCCACAGACCTGGTTTGAATCCTGGCCCCAGTACTCTCTAGCTATGTGGCCTGGAGCAAGTCACTTCAAGTCTCTGAGAGTTAGCTTCCTTCTTTTGGAAAATAGGAGTAATAGAGTTGGCTTCCAGGGTTAATGAGAGGATTAAATGAGATGATGCTGTGGAGAGCTCAGCACAGCACCTTATCCACAATCCAGGAGGTAGCTGTGCCCCACACAGCTGTGAACGCAGACCCAGAAAGGTGAAGTGATGCACTGAAGACAGGCACAGCAAATCGGTATGGGGTGAGACCTAGAGCCCAGGTTCTTTTTTTTTTTTAATATATTTTATTGATTTTTTTACAGAAAGGAAGGGAGAGGGATAGAGAGTCAGAAACATCAATGAGAAACATGGATCAGCTGCCTCCTGCACACCCCCTACTGGGGATATGCCCACAACCACGTTACATGCCCTTGACCGGAATCGAACCTGGGACCCTTGAGTCCGCAGGCCGACGCTCTATCCACTGAGCCAAACCGGTTAGGGCTAGAGCCCAGGTTCTTAACCACTAGGTTGTATGTACAGTATGGTTCCTGCTTTTCAGATGAGGAAGTTGAGACTAAAAAATTACAAGTGACTTGACCAAGGCCACAGAGAGAATTCCACAGAAGAGGAATACAAACCCTGGCCTCCTCGATGAAAAAGCCCATGATCTCCCCCTGTGCATCCAGAAAGCAGATGTGTGTGGAGATTTCGGGTTTCAGGGCCCTTTAAACCTGGAACAGGGACAAACACAAATCTGGGCAGACTGGAGGGCGGGTGGGGGTGGAGGAGGATACCTTGAGAGGAAACCAGAAGGAGTTGGTGAAACAAAAGCCTCTTTCTCAGAAGCCCTCCCTAGGGACTGGGCAGGAGAGGAGGGGGCTGACAAGCAGGGCCATCCCTCCTCCCACGGCTGAGCTGAGGGCTGAATCTAAACAAACAGAAACAGTTCCAGCTTGGCCATCAACTTGCTCTGTGATGCTAGGCAGAACACACACACACACACACACACACACACACACACACACACGGAGTTCTCTGTTTCTTCAACTCAAGAACAAGACGGTTGTACTGAAAGGTGTCAAGATCCCTTCCAGTTATAGGAGACTAATAATAACCATTCCTCACAAGTTCCTGACTCCTGATCAGGCCCTGATCCTACAGCCCCAAAAGGTGGCCTCTTAACGTTGGTTCCAATGTTGCCACAATAGGGTTGGGAAGTCTGCATGCAGGTTCTGGCTGTATAGCCAGGTCACTTCCCCTCAACAGGTCTCAGCCTCCTCATCTGTAAAATGGGTACATATCTTTGCCTGATCACCTATAGTACTATGGGAAGATCCAAGGAGCTACCTCAAAGACAAGAAATCCTCATCCCAAATATCCCTCAAGCTCTTTTAACTTCTACTCCTTTCCCTCTTGTCTGTGTCCCCTTTAGACAAATAAAACAAGAGAATCCAAGCTGACAAATTCAAGCAACCATCCACCCCCCGACCCACCCACCCAACTAACAGTAATAGCAACCGCCACCACAGCTAATACCTGACT